GATAGCCAGAGCTGTTATGCAGAGAAAACCTGTCTCAAAAAAAAAAAAACCAGTGATTGGTTACATGGAGTCTGCAGAAGGGAAACAGAGATGCTGGTGCTCAGCAATTTCTTCATTTTTTCAGTCCTAGACCCCTGCTCTTAGGATGCTGCCCTCATTTAGGGTGATTAACCATCACTGGAGATACATTAAAATCTTAGTCGCCCTGGCCAGGTTTATGAGTTACTATCTATATATAGGCCATTCATTTTTACCCTTGTGTGGAATCCCACTGTATACATGTTTTGCTGTGTATATATCTGTTCTCCTACAAAGGTATTTAGGCCATTTATTGTATTACAAGTGCTGGTCATGTTAGCATTGCTGTGCCTGATCTCTTTGTGCTTGGGTAGTCTCCTGATGTGTGTCTGAAGGTGGTAATGTGAGGTGTTAAACAGAACCTTGCAGGCACCTCTGAAACTCCATTTGCAGCCTGTGATATTTGCATGCTATTTAATTCTTCAAGTGATAGTGGTTTAATTTTGCATTTCTCATGTGCTGGTGGTTTACTAGCAATCCCACTCACATCTCTACCTCTGTTAATTGCCTGTTACTGTCTTTTTCTGTTTTTCTACTGTGTTTTTCATATTTTCTTGCTCATTATCCCTATAGGATGTGGAGTTAAACATCCTATAAACATCTTCTCCCAGTCTGTAGCTTGTCTTTATATTTTCTTCTGTGTTTTTGGATGGACCAAAGTTTTCCATTTTAGTGTAGTCAGTCTGTTATCAATCTTTGCCCTGGTAGCTTAGACTTTTTATTTTTATATTACTTTAAAGATCTTTTAAGCTGGAAGGCGATTTTACTTCTTGTGTGTAGGAAACCATTGAAGATGTTGAAGAGATGCTCAACAATCTCCCTGGTGTGACATCAGTTCACAGTCGTTTCTATGATCTCTCCAGTAAATACTATCAGACAATTGGAAACCACGCATCCTACTATAAAGACGCTCTACGGTTTCTGGGCTGTGTTGACATTAAGGATCTGCCAGGTACACAGGGCCCTCATATATCTCGGCACTCAGGGAGTCTGTGACTGAGCATAGCGGCTATGAGGTGCTAAGGGGGGAGAGGGGAGGGGAGGGGTGTCTTAGCTCTGTTAGGAGCTCATCACTTTTAAATTCACTTAGACAGTGGTTCCTGGTATAACCTAAATTCCATCACTTTTAAAGAGATAGCTTATACTGCAGTTTGAAACTAGAACCATTCTGGTAATGGTTTCTGTATTGGTTATGTGAGTTTTATAAGGCCAAATGAGATGGGATATGACTGGCTGTGTCATTTTGTAGTGTCAGAGCAACAGGAGAGAGCCTTCACATTGGGGCTTGCTGGACTTCTTGGCGAGGGCGTTTTTAACTTTGGAGAGCTTGTAAGTTGGCCTGGCACTGATTCCTTAACAGTGTGGGGAAGAGAAAGTGTTACTTTGTGCCAGCTTACTGTCTCTGTCCCCATAGCTCATGCACCCTGTACTGGAGTCACTGAGGAGCACTGACCGGCAGTGGCTGATCGACACTCTGTATGCTTTCAATAGTGGTGATGTAGATAGGTTCCAGACCCTGAAGTCTGCGTGGGGCCAGCAGGTAGGTTTCCCATACCATGTGTCTGCTCTTTCAACAATGATTCACTAAGCCTCTTCTCTATATGCATCGGATACCCAGGAGGAATTTGGATAGACAGGACATTGGCAGGCCAGGCTTGAACTCCCAGAAACAGGGCATTAGAGGTCTGGGTCCCTCATAAAAGGCACTGTATGCTTCTCCGTCTATGCTGAGTAAGGTACATCATAGGCCTCCCAAGGGAAGTGATTGATGTCTGTGTGACCTTAAGTGAGTGAAGAGATGCAAGGGGAACAGAGGAAAAGGAAACAGCACATTTGCTGAACTGAAGTGTGTGTGGCCAACATGAGTAAGCAGTCCCCAGGGGCACAGTGTAGCCAGGCAAACAGAGCAGGGACAGACACTGAATAAAGAAGCCAAGATAGGTAGTAGCAATTAGCCAAAGGTGCTTAACAGTAAGTCAAACATTTTTTACTTTATTTCTTTATT